AGTTAGACTTTACTTACAGCAAAGTTACCACCACAAAATAAAGTTTTTCTTGGCTTTTTCCTGTATCTGGAAACCTCATTATAAGCTCTTACTAAGGGAGGAGTTATTATATTCCAACAGTAATTTATCAGGGAAATCTTTCTACAATGAAAATATATGAAATATGCAGAATCTAAAATTGATATACATAGAAATAAATCTTTATTGTACTTAAAGTATATTTAAATCAGAGGAAAATGAGCTAACCACAAAGCTGAAATTTAGTTTAAGAATAATAGAAATCATTTATTTTTAAATGAGAGGACATTAATACATATAAAAATCACGTTACAAATAAGATAAAAGTTATTTTGTGGTGGTAACTTTGCTGTAAGTAAAGTCTAACTGTTTTGCTACAAAATAGTTCAGAGTATCATTTTTGTATTTTTCTAAAGGTGTCTATGTAGTTCCATTTAAATTATTTGGTTAGTACTATAGAAGCCCAGTGGACTAATAACCTATAGTGCCAAGAGTTAGATTTTCTATAAAAATAAGGCTTATCTAATACATATAGAAAAGAGGCCCACCAACTTCCTATAAAAAATATAAGCTTTCTATATAAAAGTTTTATAACTTCTTTGATTTATCTTTTATTGGTATTTTTTGCATAAATGTTTGAAGGTAAGCATTTTTGTGTGCCAATGATGTTACTTAAAAAGGTAAAAATGAGCCCTGGTTGGTATGGCTCAGTTACTTGGGTGTTGTTCTATGCACTGGAAGGTCTCAGGCTCAGTTTCCAGTCAAGGCACATTCCTAGGTTTCGGGTCCATTCCCTGGTCAGGGCATGTATGAAAGGCAACCAGTAGATATATCTCTCTAATATCAATGTTCTTCTCTCCCCCTCCTAGCCACCCTCTCCCTCTCTAAATTATTTTTTTTCTTTTCAAAACAGGTAAAAATTATGGGTGAAAGTCAAGGAATTGAAAGTTTTAGCCTTTTGTACTCCTTTCATACTTTATGCCCTAGAGAATTCCTATTATGCATAGTTTGTATTTCCTTTTGTGTCAGTTTGTGTGATATCAAAGGTGCCTATCTATGACTACTTTATAAGGCATTGAAAACTTACCATAATTTGTAGTTAATTTATTTATTCATCATGAAAAACAAATGTTTTCCTATGAATACTACAAATTCATAAAATGCCAATTTAGCATCACAAAATAAATTTTTTCGTATTTGACTTGAATAATGTTATGCAGCTTTGAGTTACATTTTCTTTTTGTTTACCCTAGACTGTAACTAAGCACAATCTACAAAGTGTGTCAAAGGAACTTGAAATATTTTAAAAGTTACATGATGAAAAAAGAAACGTTTAATTCTGTTATATGAATAATTCCATTCAGCACACATACATTGAGCAGCTTTGTATCCAGGTCTGGGGGAAATAAGATAAATAAGACATTTCCTGTCTACAGTGAAGTTATGGACTATTTATAGTACATTATGATGAGAACAAGAACTCTGAAAATTCTGCAATTGGGAGAGGAAGACCAATGATAGTTTTCCTGAAGGTCACATCTGAGCTGCTGTTCATTAGAGATTGTGTTTCTAGTATTTTTAATCAATCAGTTGGTGTTTTATGATGTATTGTAGATAAGTGCTTTCCATGCATGGGTTACAAGTATGCTAGGATACTGAGTCCTTCAGTCCTTAGACAACCAAATGGGGAGGAACTAAATGAGCAGAAACCCCAGCTATAACAGCCTCCTCCTTTCATCCCAATCTCCATACTGTTGTTGCCATTTTCCCATGTGATTATATTAAAAATATTGGAAAATAGTAGTTTAGAGAAATGCTGTTATATTATATAAGGTAATGGAATCTCTAGTGGATATCCCAAGGGGTCACAAACTTGCAAATAAAAGATAAATCTAATAACCAATTTTTAAATGGCTTACTTTTTTATTTTCTTAAATTAATTCTGATAAAATTCTAGTACACACAACAAAATTCACCATTTTAGCCATTTTTAAGTGTACAATTCAGTGACATTAAATACATTCACATTGTTGTGCAGTATCTTCACCATCTATCAACAGGACTTTTTCATCTTCCCAAACTGAAACGCTATACTCATTAAACTGTAACCCCCTCCACTTTGTTCTTCCTTCTCCAAATCCCTGGCAACCACAGTTCTACTTTCCGTCTCTGAGTATGTCTAGGTACCTCATAGAAGTGGAGTTACCTACATAATATTTATCCTTTTGTGACTGCTTTATTTCACATAGGTTAATGTCCTCAAGATTCATCCATGTTAGAGTATGTATCATAATTTCCTTTCTTCTTAAGGCTGATTAATATTTCAATATATGTATAATATTTTATCTGTCATAGACATTTGGGTTGGCTTCACCTTTTGGCTATTGTAAATAATTGATATACAAATATCTGTTCACACCTCTGCTTTCAGTTCTTTTAGGTATATACCTAGAAGTAGAATTCCTAGATCATTCATTTCTTTTTTTTTCTTTTTCTTTTTTTAAGAAATTACCATTCTATATTTCATCGTGACTACACCACTTTACATTTCTGCAGCAATTCACAGGGTTCAAAATTCTCCACATCCTCACTTCACTTATTTTCTGTTTTGTTTTGTGTGTGTGTGTGTTTTTTTTAATATATTTTATTGATTTTCTACAGAGAGGAAGGGAGAGGGATAGAGAGCTAGAAACATCGATGAGAGAGAAACATTGACCAGCTGCCTTCTGCACATCCCGCACTGGTACATGCCCTTGACAGGAATTGAACCCGGGACCCTTCAGTCCACAGACCAACGCTCTATCCACTGAGCCAAACCGGTTTGGGCTTGTTTGTTTTTTTATAATAGCCATCCTAAATAAATATGAAGTGCTATCTCATTGTGATTTTGATCTGCATTTATCTCTAATGATTAGTGATTAGTTGAACATCTTCTAATGAACTTTTTGGTAATATGGCCTGATATTTTTAAAGATATTTGTGGGTGGGGAGACAGGTCTAATCAAGATTCACCAAATCTTACTCAAAAGCAACTTATTTTATAGAATTAGGTTGGTCTAATCTTAAATTTTTGCTGCTACAATCTTAGAGATCCTCAGAGTTTTTAATCTGAGATCCATCAGTGATTCCAGAGAGTCCATGAATAGCCAAAATTAAAACAATTCCATCAGATTCTCAAAAGTATTTTAGAGCCTTAAAAATCTTAAGAACCACTGATAACAGCCCAGAAACATCAAAATGTGAAAAAGTCACTATATTTCTGATAGGTAGAATTATCATAATTTTTAAATTTCTACTCTGCTTTTCTATATTTTTCAAAGTACCAAAAATAAGCATGCAAAGTTCACATGATTCATGCTATTTTAGAATTTGAAAGGTAAAATCTATCTTTAGCTCTTGAGTGTACAATTTTTTAAAAGTCTAAATGCTAAGAAAACATAAAATGATTATAACGTTTTCTTTTTATCATTATTATTATTGTTATTATTGTCTAAAGTTTTACATATGTCTCCTTTTTCCCCCCAATTAACCCCCACCCCCACTCAGCCATTCCCACCCTGGGCAAGCCCCCACTGCCCCAGTGTCTGTGTCCATTGGTTATGTTAATATGCATGCATACAAGCCCTTTGGTTGCTCTTTAACCCCTCCCCTCCCATCACCACCACCAATTGTCTACTGATCTATTCTTGATCATTAGATTATCTTGATCATTAGATTCCACATCTGAGTGAGATCATGGATATTTATCTTTCTCTTTCTGGCTTATTTCCCTTAGCTTAATGCTGATTATAGCAATTTCTTATCACTGCCTGCCTTCTCTTAGAATCATAGCATTCCCAAGTCCCTACAAAAAGAATGGGCAGGCTCTATGGATACAAAAATAAAAATAAATAAATAAGTAATGTTTATCATTGAATCCATTTTAACTGAGTTAATTGCAATAAAATATTTGTGTTTGAGCTTTTTAATAATGAACTTTTACTATAAAGAGAGTGCAGGTTCTATAGCTACAAAAGCAATATTTACCATCGAATTCATGTCAACTTAAATTCCTGAAGGGAAAATATTTATGTTTTTTATAATGAGATTTTACTGATTTTCCTATAGTATCTTTACATAGTACATACTGTATTTACATTTTAAAGGTATGTGTTTTTGTTTTGTTTAAATTTAACATAATGATCACTTAATTTTAAAAGCAACTACAGCTGAAACCGGTTTGGCTCAATGGATAGAGCGTCGGCTTGGGGACTGAAGGGACCCAGGTTTGATTCCGGTCAAGGGCATGTACCTTGGTTGCGGGCATATCCCCAGTAGGGGGTGTGCAAGAGGCAGCTAATAGATGACTCTGTCTCATCGATGTTTCTAACTCTCTCTCTCTCTCCCTTCCTCTCTGTACAAAATCAATAAAATAAAATATATTTTAAAAAATAAAAAATAAAAAAGCAACTACAATTTTAAGTATTTATGTGGATAGATGGATAGATGCCTGTGATCAATTTAGCATCCTAAAAAACTTTAGGAAATTTTTTGAGATTATGAGGCTCTACAGTGACCCACAGATTGAGAACTGCTAGCAGGGTTGCCTAAGACCGTTGGAAAACACAGATATTTACATTACGATTCATAACAGTAGCAAATTACAGTTATGAAGTAGCAACAAAAATAATTTTATGGTTGGGGTCACCACAACATGATGTATTAAAGGGTCGCGGCATCTTACTATTCAAATTCATTGTCAAGTCTTCACATCTTCTTCTTTTTGGCTAGGTTTATAATACTCCATGTAGAACTTAAACTACTACCATTTAATATCTTGGGCCTCTGTTTCCTTTTCTGTTGGACTGGAACTAGATATTTTATCCAACTTTAACATTTGTGTGATCTATATATCTGTTTATTATATTTATTTTAGAACTATATTTTAAAATTTATAGAAGTTTTTTAAATTTTCTGTTTTTTTTTTTTTTTTTCTTTTGCAGCTATATGCAGGAGCTATTCTTGAAGTCTGTGGATGAAAATTGGGTAGGTTCCCACAAGTCCAAGGTATGTAAAATTAACTAGTAAATTCTCAGTTTAATAATGTAAAATCAGCATTTCACAAGAATAATTTTAAAAATAATTTTATTAAATAGTCTCACAAATAAAAACTTTTAGGATGATACCTTCTCAATAGCTTATGAATTTCTACCACAGTTTTCTTCATAGAGGTAGTTTTATAGTAATTGTTGAATATTAGGTTACTTTAAATAAGCATAGTATATGAAATTTAGATTTAAATACAAGACATGATGATGTGGTTATTTTTTTCAAAGGAGTCTCGTTTACCAAGTATAAATTTTACAAGAACTTTTTTTTTTTTTTACCAGATGTAAATGTCATCCCTTTAAATAGCATTTCATTGGAGTATATTTTAGATGTAAATTGATTTGTGTAAAACTCCTAAGGAACAATTACATTAGTGAGACCTGTCCTAAATGACAAATTGTCGAGAATGGAATGAATTACCATAAAACCTGAGGTACAGAAGAGGGGGAGTAATACATGCTATATGTGTCCACAGGAAATTTTAAGGAGAAATATATAAAAGGAAAATTATAAAAAGTGTATTTATTCTTCTGGTTGAATAAGCAAACAATAGAGGAGCTTTACAGCTCCAAAAATACTTGGACTAAGGCTTTTTCTATTCTGTTCCTGTGTGTCACTTGAAAATAATTGTATGAAACTGAACTTTTCTGAGGTATCAATCCATATGGTTGTTGGTACCAGTGTGGTGCAGTGCCCACAGGAATCCTAATTTGGGGTGCAGTGAAGAAGAAAACTTTGTTCAGAGCAAACAACTCAATTGTGCGATAGAGACAGCTCTGCTCCACTCTGCCCTTCTCTGGTCCACTCCACTCTATCTGCTCTGCTCCAGCAAAAGGTCTTTAGTGTTTCAGCTCCAGCCAGGGAAAGTCTTCGTTCGCTGAGCCAAAGGGGGGCTGATTTATAGAGAGTAGTGCCTGTCCCTGGTTCCTGATTGGTCCATATTCATGCAAATGAGGACTCCCAAGTCATCATGGTTTGATTGGTCAAAAAGGCACTATGCTGATCAGTCAGAATGGAACACTCTGGTCAGTGAAAATGCTGATGGAGATACAGCTGAATAGCTCTGAAAGAACAGGGAAAATGTCAGTCCTATTGTTAAAATAGGATTCCAGGAACTCCTTTATAAGGGTGGGCTCTTATAAAGTCGGCCGGAAAACTACAAGCAGGCAGTTCAGGCAGGCAGCTTAATGCAGGCTTCTCCCTTAAGCCCGATTTGCATGAGAGGCTTGTTTAGAAATGGCAGCTAGGTTCTGTTTTTAAATCTGAGCCCTGTTCACCACCTCGTGCAATGTGTATGTAATTAGAACTCAAATATCTGTTAAATGGTTAATTTACTGCCTGTAAAATGTGATTTGCTACTACAGGGCATTTAACAGATACTCTCTTCATTCAAAATTAGAAGGCTTATGAATCTATGCTTAGAGAACTGATGAAAATAGTCATTTAGTGACTCTTCTTAATATTTCTTTTAAATTTATTCGTGCATTTCAGACTGTTAAAAATCTGTTGAATGAACGAAAGTTATTACGTGTGTGAGGTTCTGTTATACATGGATACAGCAGATATAAGAATAATCCTTTTTCCCCGAGAGGTTTCTTGTCTAGTAGGAAACACACTGTGGATCTAATGGTGTTTTGCACAGCTGTGCTTAGGATAGTGAGAATGCAACAGCATTTCATAATATCAGTTTTGCTTATGGATTCAGGATTCTGCAGAGTTTTTGAACAAATTCTTAAGGATAAAATTAATAGAGAAGATATTATAATAAGCCAGAATAACATAATCAGTTTTATTTTGAACTAAATTTTTTAGGGGAAATTTAGATGGTATATAAACTATTTTTATACAAGCCCTCAAAACCCTAAAAGAAAAACGAAAACCCATTTATTAAACTTCGTGCTCCTCTTATAGGTAACCAACTGTTTTTCTCTTATTGCTTGTAAGATAGGCATGTCTATAGAGCATTTCTTTTAATGTCATACTTAGGAGAATTTTGTATTCCATATTCAAGTTGCCTATTAAATTCTGTGGTAGTATTCTTAACCTCTCTCTCTCTCTCTCTCTCTCTCTCTCTCTCTCTCTCTCTCTCTCTTTTTTTAACTAAATGTATTTATGTGATTACTTGTTCATCTTTTTTCTTTCCCTCCAGAATGTAAACTCCTTAAGATTAGAAATGATGTCTGTTTATATAGCTTTATCTCTGTTGTGCAACATGCAGTGGGTATTCCATAAATATTTGTTGAATAAATTTAAAACGTTAATCCATCTAAATTTATTTAGATATAAGATATGATGTAGGCACCCGACTATTTTTCTATGTTTTTTTATTTTTTCCCTCAAATAATTTGGCAGTTTTCTTAAAAGTATGTATTGACTAATTGACTCACATACCCCAGAGGCAAACACCTATAATCAATGTCTCTCTTCCTGCCTCCCTCTCTCTGATTTGATAATTTAACAGTATTAAAAAATTCCTACTGATATTTGTATCTAGATTAATCTATTCTGGTATCAGTATCCTAAGCTATTGAACAAATTTTCCTTCCATATTTTATTTTTTCTAAACTGTGACTATCCTCACACATTTACTCTTCTAGCTGACCTATCATTTTGTCAAGGGCTCAGAATCTCATTGGAATTTGGGGTTGTAATTAGTTTAAAACAATTAACACCTTAAAATACTTTCTTAGTAATTTATAACACCACTTTTCCCATTGAAGTGTATAATATGTCTTTACATTTTTATATCTGTTTGAATCACCTTAGTTTTTTTCATATAGGATCTAATATTTTACTTATTGAGTTTATTTCTACTTTTTGTTTTGATCTTTGTATCTTGCTTGGATTTAGAAATGAATAATTTTCATCTTTTTTCTTTTCTCTTAAGCTTTTGTCAGAAGTGATAAACCCAAACTATTCAGAGGACTGCAAATCAAGGTAAGGTGATTTTTTTTCTTTCTTTTTATTTATTTATTGTTGATAATATTACAGATGTTCCCTATATTCCCCACTTTGCCCCCTTTCACTCCATCCCCATCACACCCTGAGCCTCTACCACATTATTGTCTGCATCGATGAGCTATGCATGTATGTTCTTTGGTTAATCTCTTCCTGTCCGCCCCATTTCCCAAGGTAAGGTGATTTTAATGGAACCCTTTTTTTCCACATTGACTTATTTCTTTTTTGAAGATTGAGGTCATGTTTGTTGTCATATTTACCCAGAGTTAGGATTTTCACAGTTCTCTGGTGAAATATTGGACCCAACTAGTGGGTTGGAAGTTTCAGAAATACAGCTTAATTTTCAACTAATTGCAATAAAATTACTAGGTTTTTTAAACCAAAGAAAATTCAAAGTCCAATGCAGAATTTTATCTGATAATTTGTATGCACAGCCTATGTTAGCATTGCTCTTATAGTCATTCTCTCTCCTTAATTATTTAATTATTTTGAACTTATCTGCTTCCTCCATTAGATTTTAAATTCTTTTGAGAGTGAGAGAATAACATGTATGCAATAAATATTTGTTATAGACAATAATAAGCTTAAATCCCAAATAAAGTATGTTGATACTACCCTGTTTCCCCGAAAATAAGACAGTGTCTTATATTAATTTTTTCTCCCAAAGTTGCGCTAGGTCTTATTTTCAGGGGATGTCTTATTTTTCTATGCACTAGGTCTTATTTTTGGAGGATGTCTTATTTTGGGGGAAAAAGTATAACAATAATATTTCTCTTTAGAGATGAATTATAAGTTTTTCCTGCCCTTTTTTTTATGAAATTTTATTCAATTTTTCCCCAAAAGGTTTCCTTTGAATCCTGTTGTGATGTGTCTAAAGCTATTTTGTATTAAATTCATTTAAGCTGTGTTGCATTTGTTTTGATTTTAGTTGAGACAAAGACAACCTCTAAACATGTAAAATGATGATATTCCTCTTTTTTTTTGTAGTATGTTCGTGGTTCAGACCCTGTACTAAAGCTTTTGGATGACAATGGGAACATTGCTGAAGAACTAAGCATCCTCAAATGGAACACAGACAGTGTCGAAGAATTTCTGAGTGAAAAGTTGGAACGCATATAAATCTTGATTAAATTTTGTCCTATCCTTTTGTTACCTTATCAAATGTTAGAACACCTAGAAAATTATTTAGTTTTGCTTTTATCCCTTGATCAATCTTACTGTGAGGCAGTAAACATCTAATTAAAAGTTGAAGTGGCAGCACAGCACAGGATATCTAAGGACTTGACAAGTTTCACAAATTCATGTTTTATAAATTTCTAGCCTCCGACATTTGTTGGTACCACTAACAGAGTGCTTTGTAATAGACCTGTGGCTAATTATGCAAATGATAGTTTGTGATAATTGGTCCAGTTTTACAAACTACAGATTTTTAAATTAGGGAGGTTAATAAGAGAGATGATTACACTGTGCCTCATGCGCTATGTGCTCTTTGAAAGTAATGACAGTAAACTACAAAGCAAATAAGATAGACCAAGCCTCAACAGGTTGCTTGATCCTCAGATTTTCCCATATTTTTATATTCCCCAGCTTTATTTTTAATAGAATTGCTATAGTATATAATGAATGAACTGCATAAAAACTTTATGGCTTCGTTATTGTGAAACAGATTCAAGATCAACTGTAAGAATGAAATATTCACAGATTTGCATTAATGAGGACTACACAGAAAACCTTTTCAGGGTTTGTGTGGATCTGATCTTTAGCAAATTCTTGTGCTTTACATTCTTATAGAAAAGTCATTTAAAGATGATTATTTGTAAGACCAAAATATAAATTAAAATTTTCAAAAATCTGAATTTGAAATTTTCTTCTGATTTGTTCTTTCATGTTTAAAAATGATACCTTTCTCTGTATACTTTTCTTTTTATATAAGCCTTTATTTTCTTTAGCCGAAATGTAGAATGGCTGTACTGTTTAAAACTTGTAACTTCTCATTGTGGATAATAGTGCTTCCTATTTGTCTACCAATTTTGTTCTTCAAAGTACTTTCATTTATGAACACATTTTTTATCTTGCATAAGAAGTATCTCAAATTATAGAATATTATGAGCTGTTAAAAATGATAATGTTTCAGGAACATTTGACATCTTGCTCCCTGGCATATGTTGTCAGTTTGACTCAAACTCTTTCATAATAATTTTTTTTTTAATGATGATTTTTTTCCCCCTTAACCCTCTATCTGGTGAAAGTGATTTCACTTCATAAAAAGTAGTTCGCTAAGAACAACATTCATCCAAATGACTTCAGGTCATTTCAACTGCCTACTAAAAATTGTTCAAAAATCTTATTCTATCAGTTTAATGTCAGGTTAAATTCTTATAATCTGGAAACTTTCTTAATTTTTTTATTTTGAATTAAATCATCTAAGTGAAGGATATTTGGAAGTCCTTAAAGACAACTCTACTAGAAAATGTTTATATAATGTTTACTTTTAATCAAGATCAATTAGTAATCTTTACTAGAATTTTATGTCATGTTATATTTAAAATTAAGAAGTATGTCTTTAAAGCCAGCAAGAGAATGAATACACCCTGGGCAATTTGCTTAGTCAAAATAAAATACTATGAGAAGTCCTAACAAACAAACAGATTATGGTCTACTTTTGATCATCAGTAATGGAGAGGGCCATTACTTTGATAATACAGGGTACTGGATAAATTGGCACTAATATCTAACGGTGGTTATTACATCAGAACAAGAGGGAAGTTGCCACCACATACAGAGGAATAGTGGGATAGAAGGGATAAAACTGCAAAAGTTATGGGATTGGCATAGAAAACTAATTGGACTGGTCTGCAGGCAAGAAGAGATTGTTAAATGAGTATCTGGCACTGGGATTTAAAGAAAGAAAAAAAAAGTGAAGAGAAGCCTAAAATGTCTATTCAATTTATTATGAGAGATCAAAAGAGGCTAAAGAACCCCACAGTATCTTAAAGCTTAAAATTTTTGAATAAATGTGTAACTACCAAGCTTCACTATTTTAATTGGGAGGTTTGAGTTAATCAGCCAGTTTCAACTCAACAATTTCAATTAAAGAACAGCAAAAAGCTTTTTAAAGAAATCTTAATTACCAAAAAGGGGGTATAAGTATTGATCCAAAAAGTACCGTTTTGTAGCCAAATTCTGACATTAGATTACACTTAGTCAAGCTCACAAATATAGTTATGTAATAGTCACTTGATATTTATAAATGTGCTCCCCCTGCCAAAATTGTTACTTATAACCTAAAACAGTTAATTTATCTCTAAATTTCTGAATTTGGCAAAAGCCTTTTATAAGAAACTATGAGCAAGAACTGACATTTCCTGTTTTAGGGAGTTTGAGGCTTGAAAGCTAGACTAAAATTAAAGTTAATAAAGTGTAGAAAATACTTTTGAAAGCAAATACTGCAAAACTCTGGAAATTAAAACTAGCAGTAGCTAGTATGTGAAAGCATGTCTACAAATACATGAAAAGTAGGAGTACAAAATCCAGATATAAGTACAATTGGGTAAATATTTCTTTTACCTGAAAATTGAAGTACCTTTTAATTAAATTCTGTGGTAACAAAAGACTTTTTCTGGGAGTAGTGCCTGCATTTGTGCTCAAAAAATTCAAAGCAAACTTTTGCTAATTAAATATAAACATTTACTTTCAAAGTTTTGGCAGAAGAATCAGTAGCATGAAATATGGTTATTTAAAAATACTGAGGAAATTAAACAAAAAATAATTGTGTGAAGCCTCTAAAAGTTTCCTTTCACTGCTTTTTCCTATTAACCACTCTTGAAACATAACTTCAGTTCAGCATTTTATCTATTCAGCATTATGACCACATTGAAGTTTAGACCTTAAAATTCAAAAAAAAAAAAAAAAAAAAAAAGGCTTTGTGGTAGAAAAATTAAACTACAGCTGATCCTTATTGGTGAATTCCATATTTACATATTCACCTATTGGACCACTAAAATGTAACTAACCCCACAACGACAGTACCTGAGGCACACCCATACATCCCAGCCACATCCAAGCAAGGTGACATTGCCTTCTTTCAGCTCATGCTATAGGTAACCTTTTCAGTCTATTTAGTGCCACATTTTTTGGCAATTCTGTGCTTTTTGTTGGTGAGGTAGCTCTTTAATATGATCCCCAAGCCTAGTGCTAAAATGCTACCTAGTGTTTTTTAAGTGCAAGAACACTGATGTGCCTTATGGGAAAAGACATGTTTTAGATAAGTTTTGTTTAGGAATGAGTGACAGTTATTGTCCGTGAGTTCAATGTTAATAAATCAACAATCCTATATAATAAAGAGCTAATATGCTAATTAGATCAAACAACAGAATGGGGTGACCTTCCAGTCGAAGCTGGGGCTGCAAGGCCCAAGGCAGCTGGGGCTGTGAGGGCCACGCCCCCTGCATGGATTTTGTGCATTGGGCCTCTAATTTATATTAAGTAAAGTATCTTTAAATAGAAGCACATAAAACAAGGGCATGTATGAATAGGTTGACAATACTGTTGTGATCAGAGACTTCCAGGAAACTATAATTCCCCTAAGAGCAACGGTTCAATATTTGCTAATTCAGTGTTTGCAGCAACTTTATAGAACATAATTTACTACCATGAGTACTAAGAATTGACTATATTAAAACATTTTTATGGAGATATAATTGACATTTAAAATTCAGAGTATGCAAATCAATGGGTTTTTAGTATATTCAGAGTTGTGCCACCAAAACCACAGTCTAAATTTAGAACATTTTCATCACTCTCCCTCAAAAATCCTATACCCTCTGGCACTCACTCCATACCACATACTTCTAGTTCCTAGACAACCACTAATCTGATTTCCATATGAATTTGTATATTCTAAGCATTTCATTTAGAGGAAATCGTACAAAATGTGGCCTTTTGTGCCTGGCTTATTTTGTGTTTTCAAGGTTCATCCATATTCTAACATGTATCAGTTCTCTGTTCCTTTTTGTGGCTGAATGATGTTCCTTTTTTATGAATATACCACATTTCACTTATTGGGTAGACATTTGAGTTGTTTCATTTTTATTATGAATAATACACACGCATATACAAGTTTTTGTGTGGAAATGCTTTCATTTCTCATAGATATATATCTAGAAATAGAATACTGTATGTTTAACTCTTTGATGAACTGCCAAACTTTTCCAAAGATACCATTTTACATTCCTACCATCAATGTACATGGATTCTGATTTCTGCACATCCTAAATTTCTTGATCTCTCATTAAGAGTACTCATTTTACACCTATTATCAGGGCCCATTGATGTGTGTTAAGCATTTTGCCCTCCACTAAATGGTTTTCAGACTGCAATTCTTTTTTAAATCTTTGAATGGCATGTTTTATTTTCAACTTTACCTGCCTCTTCTGGCTCCTATCACTTTACTGAATTTCTACTCAGTTTCCTCTTCCCCGGCTTCAGTCATAAAAACCATACCTAGAATGTCCTCACAACTAATAGTGATCACATGCTAGTGAGACAGGCAACCATTACATAAAAGTACATATATGTAATTGTAATTATGGTAAGTGCAATGATAAGAAAAAGCTACTAGAAGAGAATTACAAAGGCGACTAATGAGTTTACGGATCTCTGAAGGATGTGACATTTAACCTAAACGAAAGCTACCTTGGGGGAGAGTGGGTTGGAATGCCTTCCACTGAGAGGGAAGAACAAGTCAGGTTAGTACCCTTCACATACCTGAACAGACGCCAGTGTTTCTGGAAACTAAATAAGCAGAGGGAAGAATCGTAGCAAATGGGGTTGAAAAAGTCAGGCAAAGAAGGATCCAGTTCACTCCATCTTAAGAATTTAGCTGTCTTCTAAATTGCTTTTAGAATAAAACCAGAAAAGAAAAGAAAAAAACAGAAAATGACAAAATCCAGTAAGACCAACTCTAAACATCATGAGCAATCAGCAAATATCCAATAATGCCTATGTAAACAACAGGCTTTAGTGCTTTCACTAATTATTAATAACCTCTTAGGAGCCTCTGGTACACAATTTGCTTTTTAAAGATACTAGTCAACTTGCTTTGAGAATAAAAAAGACAAGTATAAATGTTAATTTTTTTGAGATTCCAATGTTCACCTGTAGATATACTCAAAGGATTTTTAGAATATTCACTCAGTTATGTGAGCTAATAATGGAAGTGCCTATTAGTCCAAACCACACCAGCATTCCTCCTCGCCCATCTCTGAGCTGAGCACTAATGTCAATTCTAGCTCCCATGAATGGCCGTGGAGTTCCAGCCTTGAAACTATTTGACTCCATCTCTGTGACACTTCCTTTTTGCCACGAACACTGTAGTCCCAGTGTTCTGGCTGGTTTTGCTTCCTCCTACACTCAAACTAAAGACCTAAGTCCCTAGTCTCTGTTGTCTTATTTCCCACATCAGGAATGACTATATGACCCAGCTGGAACACCCTATTTGCAATACCAGATTTTGAAATCTACTTTCCTGGACTGAATTGTGTTTGCATTTCTTCTTTCTTGGCTTTAACATCTGGATACTGACCTAGAGCCTAAACTCTGTTTTTCTACCTAACCTGGTCCTATGAACAATGAATGACTAACTCATCTACTGTAAATCCATATATTTTACCTCTTCATCTTAGTCCAACAATACAGACTCTTCAGTTCTTCCACACGTGGAATGAAATCTTGTCTGCCTCTATCCTTTGTCTATCCACTCAGTATCAACTAGCTCTTAAGTACTCTACAGGCCCAGTCCAGATCCCAACCAGGCATCTTCTAGTCTAGTTTTTATCACTGCAAAACAAACCACCCC